TTCAAAATCACATTATCTTTAATTAGAAAACATAGATAGCAAGGTTGTTCAACAAAGATATTTTCACTCACCTTTATACGTATACGTGTACATATTATATTTGGAACTCAACTATGAACAAACCTCGGTGTTTACGAAAGCTGTGAAGTAATATATATTCATGAAAATCAAGGATCCCACCTTCAAAACAAAGCTTCGCGTGGTGTCTACAGTTGTCTATTGTGTCAAAAAACCTGGCCTCTAATTTATCATGAGGAATGGTTGTATGATATGTTGAGATGTCATAAGTTTTGAAGTTATTGATTTCGGGAATATTTTGTTATTTCAATTTTTATAGGTTTCTTTTATGTTTTAGTCTCCACATTTGCTTAACATCACTTCTCAGATATGTTGTTGCAAGCTTATTGCTGAAGTGTCTCCGTCAGTTCTCTTGATATTATAGAGGAGTAAAAAGTTTGATGGACCATATAGATCCCGCCATGTATCTTTGTTTATTTATTTCCATAATCGTGTTTGCTCTTCCTAATGCTTCATTTTGATCGTATATACATGTACGTACCTATCATAAAATAACGACATGACCAAACTTTATTTTAATTAACTCGTTTCCAAAAGATTTGAGGTTTAAGATTAATTAGTTATCAGAACAACCATAACTCTGGTTATAATTATGTAAGAAAACCTACATTTTTTAACCAAGCATCCTTCTGTATTGAAAAATACATTAGGTAACGTTCTATACTATGTAGAAATATGCATTTATCTTTTCATATCTGTTCATTAATTTAAAGTGTAAAGGATACACGTTAAAAAATCTTTACTCTTAGTGCCTTTGAAATTTAGAATTAATAAACAATTAACGTTACAGATCATCAGTTTATATGTTATCTTATCTCATTTATTAATCACAAATTCATATAAATGGTACTATCAAGAAGAATTTTCAGATCTTTCAGAAACGGAGACTTCTTTACATACAAAATAGCATAATCACCATAGACCAATCTAGAAGGTTTGTATTGGGAGACATGACACTATCAAATCTGTCTGAAAACATATTGTTCTAAAGCTTTTGTACCTGTATATAATTATAGATTGATAATTGTATATCTCTAGTCATTCTCTGTTTTATCCGTGTTCCTTATCGCTGCCTTCTGGATAAAAATGTGATAGAAAAATTGTAAAATAGGATCTATCATTGCTTAAGCACTTATCTATCATGACTTTTTCTCAATCAAGCCATACTTATTATATCTCTGGTTTTTTTTATAGATACACTAAAATTCAATGCCAAATCATGAAAACACTTAAATACATTGAAAAAATATAAATTACCTCTAATTTTACCATATATATCAAATTAATTTGAATCTAAACACACCGAGATACAAGAAGCTATGATAAATCACCTACTTCTCCGGAGGTTAAGTCTCATATTTTCTGATATAAAATATCTATAACGTATAAAATTGCCTTACTTTAAATCCTTATTATGCTGAACAAGTTTTGTAACAAAGCTTTGACTTTGGTTTCAAAGTCAGTTACCCCTAGCCCTCCTTCTGATACTTTTCTAATAACTTTTTTTACGTGTATTTCTTTCTTTTTCCCCTTAAGAAATGACAAAATTATTTTGTTTACCTTCTTAGTAACAGCTTGATCTGGATTACACATATATAAAGGTTTAGAAACAATTAGAGAATTAATCATCTGACACTTCCCGAAAATTGTCAACTTTCTACTTCTCCAAGAGTATTTTTTTTCAATCTCTTTCAGTTTACATAACCAGTTATTTTTTTTTCCTTACACTCTCTTTTGTTGTGCCCAATATGAACTCCAAGACATTTTACAGTATCAAGATTTATCCTAGCATTTCCTATAAATGTTTTATCTTTAATATAAACATTTATTAATGAAGAAAAGGAAGACAACTTCTACGGTGTAAACATACTCATAATTTTAAAGGGTTGTGTCTCTTAAGGATGTTGGATCCCGTTATCAAAAGTATTGGGCATTTTTATTATTGAGTATATTTTTAGAATCTACACACATAACTTAATTAAAAATCAAAACAAAAATGGAGCTACGGAGCATTTAATATGTCCTTTTTGCACTGTAATTACGTCTAACGCATAAATCAGTTTTCAAAGATTTTCCTCTAATATTTTTTATCCAAATAAATTATGGGAACAAACACAGTGTTTTTTCACCTTGAATAGCCAAATTAAAATTAGTGTCAGCAAAATAGTTTCAAATTCCTTCGCATAGTCAATTATTTGACCTTTCTGCAATCAAAAATGTCATTTTTCCGGCATTAAAAATTTAACAAGCAATAAAACCATTTAAAGTAATGACATTTTTCTGAATTTAAGCAGAATGGTTAAAATTATCGTACATATTCAGAAAAGAAAATTAAAAGTGGGGGTCTGTGATGTTCATTTTTTAGACTAAAATAGTGTTAATTTTTGGCTATCTTTCAGGACTTTCACAATGTATTAAATTTTGCTATATTCGTCAAAAATTATGAAAGAATTCATGCAGTTAATTTGATATATAATTTAGGATCAGCATAAAACATTTCACTGCACAAAATAACTCTGTGTGCAGGCTGCATGTAAAGATAGGAATCAAAACTTAACAATACTGGAAATACTTCGAAAGAGAAAAATTGATCATTTTCTTCTAAAAAAAACTTTCTGCCACAAAATATAGTTCCTCACTCAAAGCTATATTTGGCGTATCTGAGCGATTGATTTCAACTGTGTAATTTACATGAAAGTCCTATCTTTATATAAAGAAATAAACCAAATAGGAAGATCTTTTTAATTTTAGTTAGTCAAAACTTATCAAAAATATGCCATATATATGACTTTAATGCTTTTGGTATGGAATTTAATTATGGGGTTTTAATTGAATATAGTTTAATTAGCATTGTAGAATCCAAATTTATTGAAAGAACTAAAACATTATGCAGACTTTTTTAAATAGAAGTCGAGACAAAAATCTGCTAAAAAGCTCAGGAACGAACCTCTTAAAGAAACGCCATTCATAAGCCAGAAATTAACAGTAACATTCAAGATCAATTGTTGTACATATTAATTTAGTAAGAAATATAATACATCTAAGATCTCAAACATCCAGTTAGCTGTGAAAGACCTTACTTCACAGGTCAAATGTCAGAAAAATTAAAGCTATATAACAAAAAATATATATCGCGTTAATTAGTGGCATAAATTAAACAAACTTTCTGATAGTATTGCATTAGCAATACTAGTCCCCTACCGGCAAGTGTAATCTGGTTCCCGTTAAAAATTGAAAATGCCATAATAAAATCATTGAAGCGGAACGAAATGCAAACTTGATTTATAACAAATCAAGGTAAAGTCACATACAAAAAATCAGCTCAATATCTGCAAGCGTTTAGAAAAAAAATTGTGGAAAACCCTGAAAAATTGAAAAGGTCGTAATTCCATCAAAAATCATTGAAGCGGAACTAAATGCAAACTTGATATGTAACTCATCAAGATACACTCACATACTAAAAATCAGCTCAATATCTGCAAGTGTTTAGGAAAAACGTGCGGAAAACCAAGTGGGACAGACTGACAGAGGGACAGACAGACAGACAGACGGACGGACGGACGGACAGACTCAGAGGAAACCTATAGTCCCCTCCGGTTTCACCGGTAGGGGACTAAAAATGGGTATCATTTCTTTTTTGATTGGTGATGTTTTCTCTCGATTATTTAACATATTACATGTATATTAGGTAAGCAATTAATCGAGATTTATGAGTTAATTTAATTTTTACAATCTATTTATTCAATCATTCATTCTTCATTACGTTTACTTTAAGAGGTATGGTAAAATACAAAATATGGAGCATATGTTTCATAGAAAACAAATTTTAATTTGTAGGAACCATTGTTAAAATTAGAACACAAATAATTATTATAGAAAACTCGTATGAAATAACTTAATCCTTATATAAGAAATGAATAACAAATGAAAAAAAATATATAAAATCAAATGATACAAATGGAATATATTTTAGTGTGTTGCATACTACTTCAATTCAATTCTTTATTGCAAAAGACATACATCTTATAGCATATTTACAGAAATCACTATTTTCTTACATTTTAGATAATTGGCGGTAGGTTAATAATTATAATAATAATAAAATTGATAATAGTAATAGTACATTGCATAAAGTACTGCATATTACAAAAAGATGGTAGTTGGAGAATGACAATACAGAAGAAAAAAAAGAAAGAAATGTTACATGCTACAGACAATTCTTAGCGCAAGGGCTTTATATATAAATTTTCCTAAATTACATAGTTCTTTTACATTATTGACACTCAACAATTGTACTAATTTATACATAGAGGGTTTGTTTCAGTAGTACTTTTTCAATAGCTATAATCGTAATTCTGTAAATAGAGGACACAATACTTAAACAGAGGCTTCAGTTGGATTTAATGATATTTTTTATTGAATTCACACAAATCACAGTAATATGAATATAATAAATGTTTATAACATAATAAAATCCAGTATGAGTTTACTAAATAAGAGGTTCATAAATAAAATGAAATTGCTGTCTTTTTTCCATTGAACGATGAAATCTTGGAGTTGTCGTACTTTATCTTCGTCTTTAATCTGTATATGACGTGTAGATCTGTGTCTCTAACAGTATGTCTGAAATCTTTTACAAATCGACATGTAAAATAGCATGCTGATTCTTAGCCCTCTTTTAAATCTACGTATTCTGAAAAGAAATTATATCTTAATCCCAAGCAATTGTTCTCTCGATAAGTTTATTTGATAAATACACGTTAAATCTTTCTGCGGCGAAATTAAAATTCATGGTCAATATTTAAAAGGATTTAAACGCTTGTTAAATGCATTCCTGTAAAAATATTGTTTCAGAGCATTGTCGCTGAGAAAATTGAAGTTTAAACATGCATGTAGTCTAGAAAATGTTTCCCAGAGAGTAGTGGAATTATTGTTGGTTTAAATATTTGGAAAAGGTGTAAAAGTTCCCTTGGAAATGTCAAATGGACAAGGCCAAGAAAAATCCCATTCAATGGCGACAGAGGAACCTAACGCTTCGGTAGATATGAACCAAACTCTAAATGATAATATTGATAAGTCATTGAAGTCAATAAATAGCAACCAAAACGGATCTAATGGCGACAATCAGAACGTGAACAGGGTGACAAATGAGAGTGAAGAATACAAAAGTCAATCGGAAGAATTATCCACTAGAAACGTCCCGTCTAATGCAGTATCAGGTGAACATTTATCACAGCTTTCGGATTCACAAAAGTTAAATACCGAGGATAATGTCGCCCCTCAAAACAATAATGAAAATCAGAATAATAGTGACAACAATGGAATTAACCAAATAGGTAGCTTAAGTGGAAATAGTACTGAGGAATTAAGAGACGAAAAAACTGAAAGAGACGAAAACTTATTCAATCAGACTGAAAAATCAGATATTGTAAATGACAACGGCGAAAGTTCAACAAAAAGTGACAAAGATAATAAAGAAGAGGCGGAAATTTTACAAGGTAACAAAGACGAAGGTGATCAATTAACTGATAAAGAAATCGAAGAACCAAATACCTTTCTTACCAACCTTCCCGATGACAACGGAACGGGGGACACTGCCGATCAAGATCGCGAAATAGAAAACAACGATAATAAATCACAGGAGAATCCTACAGAAAGTGCACCGGAAAGTGCACGTCAAGAAAGTTCACCAGACAAAGATTACTTTTATGACGACCCATCTCAAACGAGTGTACCTTGTGCAAAATCAGAAGAATCCGAAAAAGAGAGAGCTGAGGAAATAAACAAGGCCGATACAGAAGGAACAGGTGTCAAAGCGGAATATCTGACAACAGGACAACACCAACCACCCAATGAATCAACTGATGAACTAGATGGTAACGCAGGAGAGGTGATTGATTCGCTTAAATTACAATCTGAGCAAAAAGAAAACATCCAAGAAGAAATAAAGCAACCTGAAATTGAACATCAAGAATTAGTGAACGACACACCAACGGCTCCTGAAACTAGAGAAGAGAACAGAAAAGAGGGATCTTTAAGTGAGCATGAGGAAGTAATGAACAACACTCAGACGACCCCTGAAGAGGAAGGAGAGAACAGAAAAGAAGGGTCTGTAAGTGATAAATCGAAAGAGGAAAAGAAGGAGAGTTCTCAAAAATCTAGTGTATCTGAAGCTGAAAATGATAATTCTTCAAGTTCGAGCACTAAGCAGGATGATACATTAGCCGATGTAGATCCCCTTGAGACAATTGCTGAATCGTCCCCTAAACAAGAAATAAAGACAGAAGGTATGGAGTCAGAGGTAAATAAGTCAGAAGTTGAAAAATCGGCAGACGACATTGCACTTGCTGATGACGTGCCTAAACGTGGAGCTACTGATGACACTGATAATGAAGCTGATGATTTAAAATCCGAAGAAATTGTGCAGACTAAGGAAGGTAAGAATGATACCGACGATGTACCAAACAATGAAAAGGAGGACATGAATGAAGATCATTCAGGCGAAAAAGATGTTGAAAGCGATGATGACAAAAGTCTTCTAAAAACAAATGAGGAAAATGAGAAGCCCTCAGATGATGATATTGGAGAAAATGAAAACGCAGAAAAGGAACATGAAAGTGGAAAATCTGACCCTGTAAAAGAAACTGTTGTTGACGAGGAAAAGAAGTCCGTTGAAGCGGAGGTACCTCTTCAAGAGGAGGAACCTCCAAGAGAAAAAACTCCAGAGCCTGAGCCTATAAAAATTACACGTAATATTGACATCGACAATGCAGTAACAGTCATCAAAGATACCGAGGGAAGTCTGAAAGATCTATTTAATGATATGAAAGAACTCTTAACAAACTACCAAGACAGAGTAAATTCACAGTCTCTTTCAGATTTCACAAATGATCTGGATAAGTTCAGAGGTGACTTTGAATCTTTAAAGGATGCTTTTAAATATAGTGAAGAACTTTTTCATTATCTCAACAAAACTTTGAAAGATTTGAGAATGTTGGGGGATAATTTGAATTCACTTATTCAAAAGAAGTTTCGAATGGAGGACCTAACAGTTTGGTTAGAATCTCCTGAAGAGAGAATGGAAGGTTTGTATTTAACAAACATTAAGGCGATATGAGAATAATACTTTTTTGTGAGAGGTTAAATACATTTAGATAATTGACAGTCAAAGCTGTGTAGATTAACGCTAAATGCTTAATGCATTTAATGCCTCTATATGAGATTTTACAAGGTTATACATATATTATAAGGTGTTGATTTTTTCTATCAGTCAATAGCTTCAACTTTTAAAAATACCTGTCTTGACGGCTAGTGCATTGTAATATATTCTGTCCACATTATTTAGATATATCTGCTATTTCAATAGACCTTTAAACCAACAGCATTCATTCAAATAAAAGAAAATGACGGTTCATTGATTAAATATATTGAATACTTTAAATCCGGATAAATTTAGAACTCCTTATCAACCACTGGTGAAGACATAATCAGTTCTGATAATTACAGATAGCTATATTATATTAAGGGACTGTATTATTAATTGACGGTGTGGACGATCCTTTTAATCAGTCTCACAGAGCATGAAAATAATTTGAAATGTTTGTTGACACGCACTCAGTTCTGTTTTGAGAAGAAACCACACCAACCGTGTTTCATTCTTTGATGTTTTGAAAATGAAATTAATGCTGCACTTCAATTTAAAGAGTAGATCGATATTTTACACATCTAAATCAAATAAATGCTCAAATAAAATTTACATCAGGCTGTATTTACATGCATTTCATTTGAAAGCTTACACATGGTGCATATATTTTTTTGTTACTTATCCTAAGTGCAATTTCGTAAATTGAAGGAGTGGGTTTTAAATTGTATCAAGCTCTCGAGGGTTTTAAGTAATATGAAGAGTTGACGAATTCAAAACTGTAAATATTTTCTGCATTTCTAGATCACTTAGAAACGTGTAAATATGAAGACGGTTGCCATTTATATAAATATTTATTATGACTTATGCGATATCTGGCTCTATTTTTTTAATTTGTATCAGTGACAGGTTTAGAAAAAAGGTAGAAAAGATTTATTTTTGGCAGTTAGTGTTAAGTTTAACAAGTAGGACATTGTGTGATTTTTGACATTTCTGCCTTACTTTATATCCATATGACGATTTTCTAAATATGAGGTGATGACACACGGAAGCTTATAACCTCTTGTCTAATCCAATAGGAATAAATATATATGAATAAAAGACATATTCCACAGACATTCTTCAAATTTTGGTCATAAATAACTACCTGTAGATGACTTGTGTAATACCCACAGCTGATGCCAGTTCATAAGTTCAAAGAGCATATTGATATTCCAGATAAAATTTCTATTAAAAACAAAGATGTACAATTATTCATACACATTATTTGTAATATAAGTTACATACAAAACTTTAAGGCAATTGAATAAATTCTGAATAAAATACAGAAACTTCAGTGACGTTCCTATTATGCCTTAGAAATTAAGCATTTTAGACACATAAATGGGTGCCATTGTGTCTCTCCAAAATGTTAACATTTGTCATAAAGTTTTAATTAAATGCAATTACATGAAAGGCAGAATTTATGTTTAATCAGATCAGCAGTTCGTTTTAAGCTGCTTTCTTTTAATAAAGTTGAATAATAGATACATAAATTTACAAAAAATTCAGATACCAATCTATTAAAGTTCAAAGTTTGTCATATATGTTTTCTTATAGAAAAAGAAAAATTGAAGGAAGAGCGAATAGCCGTCGAGAAATCTGCGATGGCAAAAGCTGCAGAGGCACGTGCCGCGATTGCACGTGCAGCTGTAGGTGTGACAGAGTCTAGTTTATACGCAGCTGAGGTGGAAGCAGAAGCTGCAGAGGCAGAGAGTGTCGCCATGAGAGCATGGGAATCGGCGCAGGTATAATATAAAATCAAATACCGTACATTTCTAGATATTTACATGCATTTACAGGCACTCTTTGTAATCAAATACTATAAAAGCATCAAATCATTTCTGGTCAACTGAAGTTTCTGCGACCTTAAAAACTCTGTATATATTATATTAATTAAAAGGGGGGTTGATTATCATTTTTGTGAGTATTTTTAAAAGAAATTATTAATGGTTATTAAAATAATTGGATCAGTGCTTTTTTCTCATATAGAACGCCAGGAGAGACATTGAAGAGGCCGAAAAAGCTGCTGCTGAAAAGCGAAAGGCTGAGGAAGAGGCGAGGAAAAGGGCAGAAGAAAGAGCCCAGAAGAAGGCTGAAGAGGAGAGACTTCGTCAAGAAGAGGAAAACAGGAGACTTCAAGAAGAGGCCGAAAAGAAGGGGACCTCATTTGAAGATGAAAAACGGCAATTCCTGGAAGAAAAGGCGAGAAAAGAGGAGGCAAGAAAGAATCCGAAAAATTGGCCACGATATATGTAAGAAAGAGAATAAGATAATTATATGATAAAACTGAATTTAGAATAGTGAAAAGCTTTTTTAAAATCCTGTGTCTTGCGCTTTTGAATCGTATTGAATTATTTTTTACCGTAATAATATTTTTCCAACTTGTGAATAACCTTTGTCCATATTGTTGAAATTATTCATTCTTTCTAGTTATAGTATAGAGGCTGCTAACCTTGATCCAGGGGTACCTGGATGTGTCATCCGGGCTATTGAAGGCAGTATGAATCGTGATGACGTAGCAGTAACAGCCGTAGATCAATTCTCTGGTACTCTGACCTTGGTTGAGAATGAGGAGTTAATAAGCAACATCATATTAATCAAATCAACCGACCCTGAGAAAAAATTTCAGGTCAGATATATTTTGTCTATCGAATCGAAAAGATTTTTGAAACAATTGTGTAAAGTTAAGGTGAAAATTCTTTTCATTTAAGCATGATAATCTCTTTTCAGTTTGAAGAGCCTGTGGCTGTTGCAATACCTCATTGTCTACAGAGAAACATTCCCGGTAGAGAACCAGTTATCAAACAGCTACAGCCGAATGGAAGGTGGGCGGAGCTCCCCACAAATGACGTCATTATAGAAGACATCCGCGTTAGTTTATTTGTTTTTGTTCTGATAAAAAATTTTAAATCCTTCCACCTTTTTACTGAATAAGTTTACGAAAAAATTGGGGGGGGGGGGGTGTATTATCTTCCAAAGATTAAAAATACATTTATCTTTATTTGCAGGAATTGAAGTTTGTAGAGATAAGAACACGACGATTTGGGGTATTTGCTGTAGTGCTGAGGCTTAAGAAGGACACGCTTACCTTTATGAGAAGAGGAAACAAAGTTAACTCCACTGTTGATGCTCGCATAACCTTTACCTGTAAACCAGGAACATTCAAAAACAACGTTTGCTTTACTAGTGAGGTACAAAATCCGTGGCTTTATATGCTTTATCATTTAAACCAAAGATTTAAGTGAGATAACTATATGGATTTCTTTCTATCAGACAATGCTGTTTACATATATTTTGACTCAAATCCACAAGAAATTCCAGTTCATTCGTTAAAAAATATCAAGTTTAGGTAAGGAACGTTAGTGTTTAGAAGAGAGAGCTCATCTCATTCTGGTGGAGAATTATTTTGGGGAGAATTATTTTTTAAATAATTTAAAAGTAGGATGAAAATCATGGGCGTTTAGGAAAATATCTCTTAAACTATTGATTCACACATAACAGAAATTATTTAAGGTTTCCTTGTAATATGCAAGTTGTTCAAATTTCAATTAAAAAAAAATTCAGATTTGACACCCTGATGATGATTTGAGCATTTCTGTCCTACTTTTCGACTTCTCAGACATATCCAGGAATCCTCATCTAGTTTTAGCTTTATCTCAAATCATGTCGTCCAAAGTATGGGATTACAGAAATCGTATTTCAATTCCTTTTAAATATTTTCTAAAATTAATAGATAAAACTGTAATTCGATACTATTGTTTAAGTTATTGCAATCACGACTTTCGGATGTGTTTAATAAGCTTTTTTTCATTTCATTTTTATTTTTCACACAAAAAAATTCACTGTGCATCTCTTGTTGATAAATCGTAGCTTTACTAGATTGTTCTCGTATAACTCGATCTCTATAGTAGGTTACACAGTAATTCTGATTTCCATAGGTACAAACACTGGATGTCAACACCGTGACTGATCTCAATAAACGTTACCCCACCGAGTGTGGCAGTCTTCTCTCATCTAGTCCAATACTAAGATTTCAAATACCAAACCGGAAATTTGCCAAACCTCTGACCTTGACACTGCCTCTACCACCTAATACTGTCAAACAGAAACGCCCACAGAGTGTGGCTCCAGGAGCACTGAACAGAGAAAAAATGGACCAACGAGAGCAGACTACCACACGACCAGTATCAAGCATGGGCTTCACCCCAAAAGAAGGTTAAAGAGGGTTCTATTGATTCATATTTTCTTGAAAATTATTTTGCAACTTGAATGCAGAATATATAATCCAATGCAACCTCTATTTTTTTTTTCTATAAGTCGCTAGGTAATATCAATACATATCACAATATACTAATATTTGTATTTTAACAATGTGCACATGATGTTCAAGTTTTGACCAAGAATTTATTAGTAAAGAAGATCGGCGAATAAAGGGCGTGAATTCCTTTAGCTACCAATGTCTAAAAATCAAATTCAATTTGTGAAATAACTATTCAGAGCAAAGTTCTTAATATTGAAAGGTACATGTATGAAATAATGGCAATCTTTTTTCTGCAGAAATTCTCTCGGCAAAAATATTCTATTGTAAAAAAATATTGCGGATTTTTTTTTTTTTGGGGGGGGGGAGAGAGAGAGAGAGAGAGAGAGAACAATGTCATAACATCATTAGTATCAGATTTTCATTAGAGACTCATAACAGGTAGCTAGCATTTAATTTTTATTTATGACAAATAAATATTTCTCGGAAAGATACGAATGCTTGAGAGTGTACTTTTAAGGTATAGTGGTTCCTTGCTCCATGTTTTTTTTTTTTAGCGAGAAAAAATATATATTTTTATTTAAGCATTTTTTTGAAGATATATTTGCAAAAAATGAAGCGAAGTCCCAATTATATGGATTATTGTATTATAGTATGAAGAAATGATCATTCTTGTCCACTTTGGTGTGTGCATGCAATTTCAAAGAGGAATAATTTCAATACTTGTAACATTGTTGCAAATTGTGAAGACTTTAAATAAAACACATATTAATGTTAGCTGAAATATCAAAGAATTTTTTAATGATTGGGATTTAATTTTTCACTGTATTATTTGTCGAACCACGGGCATATTTCTTGTCATATCCCCCCATCTTATTAAATATTCCTTTTTTTTTTTTTAAATGAAGCAATCTTTTACCTGTGTTCAAAATTGTCATGTGTTATTTGCAGATGAACCAGAAGAAGAAAGTCACTTACTTGTCCGCGATGACAAAGGTCCGTGGATGGTGCTGCCGAAAGTAAATCTTGTCCAGCCTAAAAATAAAGATATTGTCACTTTTGATATTAGAGAACCTCATGACAGGTGAGATATATGTAGTATATATATTCACCGAAAAAAAAAATATCTACGAAAATATAGCAGTTATTTGACAATTGCCCAATAGTCAGCTGATTTTGTCTCACGTACAAAAAAAGATTAAGTTGTAAAATTGTTACCGTTGTATTTAGGTTTATTCTTGTGAAAACCAAGCAAGGAATATCCCCATTATCCATCGAGAAAATAGCGAACCACGTGGAAAAAGCGATCCATCACAGAACAATGCACGTTGTGTTGCGTCAAAGAAGCGACGATCCAAACGAAATAGTCATGATGTGCTGTCCAGCGAGCAAAACCGAGAAAATCATAAAGAAGCTGGGAGAAGAGGGATTTGATGAGGGACCACCACCAAGCAAGGACATTATTGTCAAAGAGGGTCAAATATTGACGGTTGGGTTCAGAGGGAACATCCAATGTGATAAACATGACGAGATCAAAATGGTATTTAACACTTTCATTCGTGGGAGGACAGAGTTTAGTGTGGAAGAAATTGATAAATTTGCCCAGAAAAGTTTTCCTTTCTATCGAGGATTTGCGCAAGTGTTTACGAAGGTTCTCATCCAGAGACCGGTGGTGGCCACAGATAAAGCCAAGGCACCACCAAAACCTGGAGCAATGGAGTGGGTGGAGGAGGACGTCCTGCTGACAGAACTTCTGATCAATATTCCAAAGGTTAAAACAAAGTCTTATTTTGCAGCATGGTCTCCTATTTCTGTCTAGAATGATTTAATAAGATTATTACAAGTAGAAGTCTTAGCAATAGATCTACAGAAATATACAATTTTGGGTAATAAAGGACTATTTCAAATGACGACTAAAAAGTGCAACATTGCAAATCTAACAAATATGTCATTGCATTTGAATTCATTAATTTACTTGCAGTTATGTTTACATGTTTACTTACAATTATTTTCTTTCTCTTGTTTGAAATTTCGTTTATCTTTTCAATTATTAACAGCCTGAGCCAGAACCACCAAAACCATTGGCTACTGCTCCAATAAGGGTCAGCGCTGAGGGTACGTATATCATCATACAGAATACAAGCTAATAGCTGGGGTGGTTTTTAAACTGTTTGTTTATTTAGCAGTATCATGAACCCACCTAAGAAACAATCTTTTTTGAAAGCTGTAATTTTTTAAGAGAAATATTCAAAAGCAGTTCTTTTATTCAAAAGTTCAGTGTTCTAACTAGTGTTCTTTGCAAATACTATCTTCTAGAGGAATGTAAAGTAAACATTAAGACAGTGTTACAATTATGATATTTCTTCCATAATTAATTACAATGTAGATATAAAAAGAATTAAAATGACTCGAAAAATATTTCGTATTAAGATTTTTTAGGTTTAGCATTGTTCATGTTTTCACTAAATTTTGGGCTAAATACAGCGTATTCAACTATATAGAGTATTTTTCCTTGAATTTTAATTCTTGATTTCTTTTTTGTAGGGCCCAACAAGGAGGATGTTCTGCAGTTTGTGGCAGGTGAACTGGGAGATGAGTGGAAGAAACTGGCCCAGTACCTTTGTCTGAAGTCCGTTCGTATCCAGGCTATTTTAAGACAGAACAATCAAAATCCAGATCCCAAGAAAATCAGATACGACATGTTGGTAACCTGGGCCAAAAGAGTCCCACGATGTTTAAATAAGGTACTAGAATATCTCTTCTTTAAAATACATTTCTGAAGACTATTTCACTTCTTTACATCTGTAACACTTTAGGAATATCGTTTGATTTATCGGACTATATTGTTCGTAATTTAAGCTGGAGATACTGGCGCAAGCTTTGAACGCTTGCGGAAGAGGAGATTTAGCCGCAGAACTTCGGGATCGAGATGAGGAATTTAGGCGGCGACGTGCGCTATCATTTAGAGGTGTGCTCAGACTTCTTAAATTGAAATAAAATGAAACAGTGTTTTGTATATAACCTAAACATGTAATAATATTTGCCATTTAATAGATAGCTACCTGAGGAGGGCTTTTGTTAAAGTTGCTCAAAACCCTGAAGCAGTTAAAGGATGGAAGACCATAGCTACACGACTTGGTGTTTCTAACGATGACTTGACTGAAATTGACCAATCGGCGCCTTCGATACAACAGAAATGTTTCTCCAGCCTTCAAAGATGGCAAAAGTCTGTCGGCGACGAAGCGACGCTGCCGATATTGTCAGAAAAATTAAGAGTTTGCAAGTACAGACAGTTAGCAAGTGAGTAATTTGATTGCTTCGTTTTCACAGACTTATTCATATAAAGTTAATACATTTGCCAAATATACATAACAATATTTCACAATCATTATAAATTGAATGTTTTCCAGACAAGAATAATAAACTGGTAAATGTTGATGAAGAATTGAATGTTCTACAAACATGATTTATTTTATTTTCTAGGAGATATTGAATCGATCGCCTAGGTGTCTAAGGATATGTGCTTCACGAAAACTGCATGACTCTCTCTGATGGGAAACTGTCAAAAAATTGTATCAATCTTAAGAAATTCAATATTTGTATAGAACAGTCTTTCATATTTATCTGTTTATTGTGATAAAAATTAGTCCCATGTCTATTCCTGTACTGCCATTGATCTACAAATATTAGTGATTGTGTCATGTATAAGATTTTATAAAATCATAGACTGTACTGTGTGTATATCGATATACACAGGTACATATATAAAGTGTATTTATTGGGGTATTTTTACGTTTAATTAAATGGGCTGGAGTGGTGGATGTATAGAATATTCATATTACTAAAATATGTAGACATTAAGTTATATATAACTCAGTATAGTATATTAAGAAAATGGAAAAGAATTGCATTTAATTTACAAATGTTCACTTATTATATAGATAATTTTTTACAAGAAAAAATGGTGCACATATTCATATGATTATCAAAGCTGTGATATTTTATAGTTTTTAATAAATTATTTACAAACTGTATGATTATTCGTATACATGATGTATATAGAGGATATTCAATGTTTTGTAGATGAATATGGAATTTATTTCACGAGTGGGACAGGATTTTTTGATATTTTCACGAGTGCGAAGCACGAGTGAAAATATCAAAAAATCCTGTCTCACGAGTGAAATAAATTCCATATTCATCTACAAAACATTGAATTTTCTGTTTATTACATTTTTTTTGATTTTCCCTTTGCCTCTAGCTGTCTTTTCTTAACAGTGTCATAGGCTTGACGTCATAGTTGAGCGGTAAAGAAGTCATAGCTTAGCAGTTGTGTGATTGAAAACATTACATAGCATGGATTTTAGCAACATATTTGGGAAGAAATTTGCAGTTTTAGTTCTATCAAGATGCTTAGTTACTATCTATATCTTTTGACAGGCCAAAAATTATTTTTACTTACTTTGATATCCTTTCACACTGTGAGAGAATATCATTTTGGTATCCTTTCACACTGTGAGAGAATATCACTTTTATTCAATAAATAAATCACAGTATTTCACTGTTGAAAATGTAATAAATGGAATTATCCAGAACTATAATATATAAAGACTAGGCAAAGGTGACGTTGTCGCAGATACCTTCCATTATTTTATATCTTTCGGATCCCAAGCACTATTATTACATAGATGTATTCTCCAGCAAAACACAACATTCTTCCGCACTGTTTAGTAAAGATGCATGGATTGATTCCCAACTTTCCATGTCTTCACGTATAAATCATGCAAATGAAATATTTAGATAACGAACAGTATTCAAGCTCAAAGTCCATTAAAATAATGCAAATCGGGAGCAGAGCAAACACGGACCTCCAAAAACATCAGAGGTGGGATCAACTGCCATGGAGGAGTGAGCATCCCCCGCAGACCGGTCACACCTGTCACGATCGGGAAATAACGGGAAAATCCGTTGACAATTCAGTGTGTAAATAATGGCCTAACAATTAGTATGAAAAACGTCAGTCAGCATATGACTTAATGATTGATTGTATTTGCTGACAAGGTAATTGTATCGACCATAGAACTTTTGAAATGATGACTTAAAATGAGACTGTTGATATTCTTGTTTCATCAACTTGTTTGTCAATAACTTACCTCGTTTTAGAAATTGTTCATACGTAGAGCATGCTCCTGCGTATCGAATCAACTGAGAGATATACACCTCATATGCAGGTGATAAGGGTATATTGCTGCATAAGTAAGGGAAGTTGACGATTGAAAACTAAGTTAAAGTCATCACGTTTACCAATTACCATAAAGATTGGTTGTTAGATTATCATTAACGTCTTGTCCTAGTAAAATATCAAAATATGAAACAGATGTGTGAGACTCTGTGGTATCTTTTATTTCAAGCTCACTGATATATATCGTGTCGACATATGAATGGAAATAACTATTGTTAATTGATAATACGTCGTCGATATATCTAAATGTCGAGTTGAAGGCCACAGCAAGAGATTTCTTTTTCTCATACATAAGATTTTGAATAAATTCTGCTTTATATGAATACAAAAATAGGTCTGATAATAGCTGGGCGCAATTGGTACCCATGGGAATTCCAGTAGATTGTTGGAAGACCTGGTCTCCGAAAACCACATAGATATTGTCAATCAGAAACTCGAGCATCTTCAGAATACTTGTGTGCACAATCAGAACGTTTTTTAACAAAATAATTTTGCAAATGACCAATGACAAGGTAAGTAAGAAATGCCATGTTTTACTTCTTAATTTATTTGTTTGCCATTGAAATGAGACCATGCTTTCGGATATACTTCCTGTAGTCTGCCATGGCAACGTCGTCATAGCGACGCAAGGTAACGCAATTTCCGCCTAAATTTATGGAGGAGGAGGAAAGACGATTTCGGGACTCCGCTGAATCCATAATAACCTTCCATCGTTTACTCATAGGTATGAATTGAATGGATACGACACTTGTTCCTCTATAAATTTTCGTCAATTTCTTCATTTCGAAGAGGATGGCCATGTGATCAACATTTTCATCAATGACATCAAAGCACAAAGCTTCCGGTGATGGTGAAGGTGGTCGACGGATTGATTTGGATATCTTCATGTTAGATATTTATGTCTCCATATGATTTGGAAAACTGCTGCATTTAAAACAACATATTGGTTTAAAATGTATATCACAATGTCGCTCTGTAGGTACACTTCGCAAATATTATTTTGAATATAAATAGGTTTTATTTTTTCAAAGGATTCTAGAATTCTATTGGTTAATAGTTAAATTAGTTGGACGGTACTTTTTTTTCTTTTTGATCATGTGTTCAAACGGTTTCTATATATAAACCTATTCCCTCCTGTGCAAGCGATTGACAATCTGTTCTCTGACTCATATTTGTCACAACACATGACATCTGAATATCACCATCATAAAAATACATGTATACATTTTTCTTCTCTTAAATCAAAATATGCATGTACATTAATAAATAATTGGATAAAAATAGAGAATTATGCAAGTGATTAAACAACTATATGATTTTACAGACATCATTGTTGGCATAATAGTAAAGAAGGTTGTAAAATGGAATTCATTTTTGCCTTACCTGCAACTTTAGATTTTCTAAAGAAAATGTTCCATATGAGCTGAAAACTCACTGCCCATTAGTAGTTACTTGTGATGCAATTAATTCCCTGTGCACGTGGTAACGAATACTCTCATTCATTTTTGACGGGTGCATTAATAATGCCCGCAGTCTTACCTTCTTTTATTAGGTGTGTTGGGGTCTCTTCGGTGTTATCGGGTCATTTATAATTCAGACAGAAATTGCATAAATGGTAGTTTCATCTTATACAACTTCGAACTACTCTTTGTTCTTCAGTGATTACAACACACGTGTACAAGAAACAAAGTTGCCTTTCAATGTACTCTACACGCAACGCAGTGCAGTGTCTATTTCTACAAACCTATGGAATCTTCAAGTGATTTTAAATATATAATTTTCAATAATATAATATAAACGTAGGTAATCAAAGATTACGAAGCTCACCTCGACGAATGTTATCTGTAAGTTAGGCAAATCTCACATCATATTTTTTTTTCTAGTTAGTGTACATCCTAAAATCAAAATTCATGCAAGTTTGGTTTAAGTAGGACTTACAGTTACTTGGAAATAGACCTGCTCAAAAACTTTTAACCTGTTTACTAATCAAGAAAACTTTGGTCAGTTCCAACATATCCAAAGCAAGTTTGGAAGTTTTCATCCTTGGATGCACCATCTATGCAAGTTAATCATAACAGGCTAAAATTTTATTTAGATACTCCAAAAATATTACCCTGGTCAGGTCACTCATCTGGAAAATGTAGGTCAAATTCAGAATCCAAAGCAAGTCTGGAAGTGTCCATCCCTAGATACATCATCAACCATGCTAATTTGGATTCACTCATGTGGAAAATCTAGGTTAGATCCAGCATCCGAAGCAAGTGTAGTAGTGTCCATCCCTAGATGCATCAGCCATGCAATTTTGGTCCAGGTAGGGCTTAAATTTAGGTACCTGCTCCAAAAACTTTACCCTGGTCACTCATCTGGAAAATCTAGGTCAGATCCAGCATCCGAAGCAAGTGTGGTAGCATCCATCCCTAGATGCATCATCCATGCAAGTTTGGTCCAGCTGGTAGGGTTATAATTCCTTGGGAATGGATCTGCTCCAAAAACTTTAACCTGGTCACTCATCTGGGAAATTTAGGTCAGATCCAGCATCCGAGGCAAGTGCCGTAGTGTCCATCCCTAGATGCATCATCCATGCAAATTTGGCCCAGGTAGGGCTTATAGTTACTTGGGAATGGACTTGTTCCTAAAACTTTAACCGGGACTCTGACGCTAACGCCAACGCCAGGGGTATAGCATAAGCTCATCGTAGAGGTGAGCTAAAAATTAATTTCCCTGTGAACTCCGCATAAATTTTCGTATCATCAAGGTGCACAACATGCTTAAGATTCCTCTTTGCACTTCATAGTAAAGAGTTATGATTCCACGCGTACGGTATTTTAATAATGGGGGTCCAGGGCAAACCATGATGGGGCCTCCGAGGGGGTCCCTGGAAGCTCCGGGAATTTGATAACTTTAAGCCAGTTTAATCATAATCTTATATTTATCATACATGTATTATATTCTCTTTTTATGTGTTTGTATCTTTTCCTGCCTCTTCTCTACAACGTATGTTTGTACATGTAAGAGAATAAAGTCATTGTCTTTGTCAGAAATGTTCTATTTTCATACAACATGGGTTCAGACTCCATTTTTTGAAACATGAAATAGATTTTACATTTACTTTTCCGTCATTTAAACGTTAATGATGAATGGAGACTTGACCCATTCGTATTCAAAAATCTTTTTTATGGCTCTGATAAACCCAGTAAACCCATTTTCCACGTCTAATAACATTTCATAATCTAAACTTTCGTTCGAAATTTCCGGACCATGCCTATCTTCGACGTTTTGCGCCTCTGGCGTCCCAAAGCAATTTAATTTTATTATATATATATATATATATATATATATATATATATATATATATATATATATATATATATATATATATATATATATATATATATATATATATATATATATATATATATATATACCCTTACATTTGTAAAGTTAATAGTTCCGAGACTTCTCTACTCAAGAAAAGGTTATAGTTAGATTATCGGCGACCAATCTGGAAGTGATCTAATAGAAAATATCTCTGATATAAGAATATTTATCATTGATGTCCCTTTGATTAAGATCGATTCGATAGAATTCGAAGAATTGCGTAGAAAATGGGGTAAAATAATACATGAAATGGAAAAACAATAAAATAAAAACAAGGTCTTTCATGGAATTAACAATATATATACATATCACATCACGTAAAATTATGCTACAGATGTGTTCCGAAAGTTACACATACTTTTCATTCAGTGTATCTATAATAGAACTAAATAACCAGTAATGGATTAATTTTATTCATACTCTATTCAGCATCTCAAATATTGTAAAGTACTGCAAAGAATAGCACGCCATAGACATAACCGGAATGGAAAGAAATGGGGGTCTACTATATATGTACTAGTAGTATACATTAGCAACAAACCAATTTGATAAGCCGGTGTTCTTTGTTCACAATAAAATACACTACAAATAAGCATTAGAAACACTCAGGAACAATTATAATGTAACTCACAATGAAACTGTCGCTATCTTTTTTCATCATCTACTTCCTTTTAAGAATTTTCTTGAGGATTTGGATGAGGGTAAATTTAATCTCTCCCTTTCGTTATTGATATCTTGCATGTATCTGTAATTCCTATATTCTTTCTCAGAAATATCGTCCCATCTTTTGACAATCATGTGGTTACCATTCATGTAGAAACCTTTTCGCAAAAGTGTGTCAACTTCGAACAAGTTCCTCATAGTTGCTAACCAGCGGCCATTAACACTGGGATCCCCTGACCTCACAGACAGTGGTTCGTACTGCAGACGCATGACCTTGACCCCCATTTCAGCCTCTATGTGGTTCTTCAGCTCTTTGTGTGTTATGTTTTCATTGTCTTTGAGACTGAAACACACAGTAAGGGGTTGTTTTTCTGCGGGCTTTTTTCTAAGATACACTGCCGGAAGACAGAGGTCTTCGTATTGCGCAGGTGCTTCGTCCTCACCTCTGCAAAATCAGAATATCTCTCAAAACGCTTATGCTTAAATATATTTAATGCGTTGAGTTCTTTCGTAGTATTTAGATAAAGAAAGTTGCTATAACAATGAAACAAGATCATATTTCAATAATAATTACAGCATAAAAGTAACTAACTTGATACATAACTGAAAAAAATTAAAATGAGAGTATATCTACAGGGGAAAAAAATCCTCCATATTAGTCTCTTCTCTTGGTGGTAATTAAAGCCCCCATTTCCCGCATTCTGGACAACTATGTCTCGCAATGAATATTGATTAAACATTCATTTGGTTCATTTTTTATGGTTGTCATATTTTCCCTTCTTACGCAACTATCTGGAACATGTACAAGAAAGCCGTGCTCCTCTAGTAAAAAAAGTTTTTGAACAAGCACAGTTTGATTTTAACTTATGGAATAAAGATACTTTTGGGTATCCAACGCTATTTATTTATTTCATTGGTAAATGTACGATGTAAAACCGTATATACATTTATGGTTTAGCAAAAGTGACTTTAGCAATGTGGGAAATACTACTAGTATTGATCATCATCCAAAGGTAGTCTTTATGTCAAGATTTCAATAACTTTGCATTTTGTTAACCTACAAACCTTTCTAATTCGCTGCTCTTTGTTGCTGGTTCTGTTGTAACACCTCTCTCTTTATTTGTAATGACAACTTGTATATCGGGGTCAGAATATGTTATTTCTGGCTCTTGAAGGAAATGTATTTTACACTGCTCTGAGACAAGAGGTGCTGACTTGACCTGTTTTCTAATAGACTTTTTACTTGGTCTTCGGAACCCTAGAGACTGGATATTTTCCGGCAGTTCTGTGTATATTCCCAATCTCCTATGCCCCTCAGCATAGGATTTCGTGACGGTGGCAGACTTGCTCCTTGTGTCTGTTTCTTGGTCTTCCCTAGGAGAGTGTGTTTTTGGGACACTGGTCTTTGGTCTGGCTGTTTGAACAGTGTCATCTTGCTCAGCAAAATCAAATTTCCAGGTGAAATTTCCAGACGCAGGATTATACTGAAAGTGAGGTTTTAGTCCTTTTTCTTTCAATACTTTCTCCAATTTTTCGCGTACTCTTTCTTTTGAACCTGAGAGGTAGCATTTTAGAAACTTCTCGCCGACAGCACGACAGGACTCGTTGAATAAGTCATTAAGATCTACACTGCTTACTGGACACGCACGATCACTGACGGATAATTTACGATAAATTGAGAGTTTTTCGTCCAAGTGAGTGTTTTTTAGAATCATTGCTTGGCTTGATGTCGGCATATCTGTATCTCCAAAGTCTCCAACACCACCAGGCTGCCTTGCATGGAGGGTTAAAAGGTCATAAAACATAGTCATTATGACGTCACAATGCCGCAGTTATCTTTTGAAATGTTCAAAGGTATTTAGCGCATATGACGTCAAACATCTGTTTAGTACACTCCCAGATAGATTTGAACAGCGGCCATTCATATAACTAGTAAGTTTTCCATGCAAACAAAAAATTCGATATCTGCCGAATGTATCAAAGTCGATCACTTTGACGTGTTTAACTTTTTTTTCGTATTGCACGTGACCGGTTGCCTAAGAATCCGTTTCACAACACTTGATGCATTCAACGGGGATCGCGCGATTTGATACCCCGGTATTCTGTGGCGCATCCAGAAGTTCATGTCGGGATATGAGTCCCGAAGGAGGAGGGTTGGGAGGTAAATGTCCCCCTCCAATTGTTGTGGGTTCGATTTTTTTTTCTTTTTGTAAAAATGCCCCCAAAATGTGCACTTTCCAGCATTTCAAAATGAATAGAGGTAATTTATTTATTTGACAAGGCCCATTATATTTCTACTGCCCATATAAAATTTACCACAATTCATTATACGAATTTGTAATCGTTAATCAAGTTAATTTTTTTTTTTTTTTTGTATATTCTTTTATAAGATGTATATTTATTGTTGATTACCTGTGTATTGTGTGTGTTCTCATTAAGCAATATGTTGTTAAAATGACGTAGATGTAAAAAAAAAAAAAAGAAAAGAAAAAAAATGAGTGTGTGTGTTGGGTGGGGGGCAACCTTCAACATGCTCAAGCCCCCGAATCCGCCATTGAATTAGCATAGGGAGCGCACAATTCCTAAACCTGTAAAGAGTTCCTCAATAATTTCTTCTAATTCAAATAATGTCTGACAATTAATTGTAAAATGTGTATTAAGTGTTGCTCTATATTGAATTAAACTCTTAGAAACATTAAATTATTCAATAAAGACGTTTTAAAAGATTTTGCACATCACATTTTTTTTATTAATGCAGTTTCCTACGTTTAGTTTATAGTTTATCGACGATTTTACGTCGGGTTCGACGTTCAGAATCTGGTGTCATGAAAACAAACATTCCAGATCGAGTGATTCAAAGTTTTGAATCTTTTTATACACTGCCTAAACACTGGATAGTGGATAAGTTGAAGCAGCGTTTTTACGATACAAATGGTTTACTTCTCATTTACAATAGTTAGGCAGTAAGTTTGGGTCGTTTTTTCTTCCTTAAAACACTTTTAAGAGTATTTAAATCAACTCATGGCATTTGTACATGACAGTGTTACGAAACATAGATCACAGATATTTCAATAAATTTTTACAAAGTTTTAAATTTGCCTAATCTTTTAAAAATTATACAGTATATTTTTTATATGTAGTGTAAGCAATTTGGGAAATGCCAAGTATTTATTTCACCATGATAATTACTTGGTATATGCTTACATTGTTACTGTGGGTTGTAAGTACGTTCGCCCTAAAATATTTGTTCGCCCTTGACGCCGTTCGCCCAGAGTCCGATCGCCCTAAAACTTGTTCGCACAGGGTCCGTTTGCCCTTTTTATACTGCAGAAAGTTGAATAATGGACCAACGGATTTTTTTTCAATAAATTATATTTTTATTTCTTATTTATTTACTTGTGAAATTATCGTGAAAAGGCTTATTATCAAATCCTTGCTCATCCGCTGCTCAGCTCCATAATGAGCCTATTAACGTCTCAGTCCTTTAATTGTTTTCAAAACATAACGCAGATTGTAAAATAAAAAACATGGATATGAACCTCCAAATTACAGTGACGTTATTAAGTATAATTAAATCAATTAAGCATGTAAAATGCATTAATATCAAATTTGAATTATTAAATTAAGATTAAATTTAAAAAAAATTTACTTTATCAACATTTAAAAAAAAAACAAGTCGTAAAATATTGAATTAAATTGATAATAGATGTTTAATATTTGCTATATACTGTATATATATTAGGGCGAACGAGATATAGGGCAAACAAGAATTATGGCGAACAGACCCTGCATGAACGGACTCATGCAAACAGGTAGATAGGGCGAACGTACCCGATAGGGTTACTGTATACATTGGGACCAGTCGCTCAAATGGGATAATATAACCCGCTTGAGATATAATATGAGAAATTGAATATCAATTTACAGTGCAAAAAATTAAGAAATTTTGTTTGACCTTGAATGTTGTAAATCCGCATAAGCAACAACTTTTGGTAAATAAGCTAACAGTATCTATTACAACTGTAACGGTAAAGGAAAAAAAAAGTATGGCTAGCCTGGGAATTGAACCCTGGACCCCTGAATTACTAGTCAGGAACTCTACTGACTATAAGCTATCCATACCAATATCCATATGTCCCAAACCATTAAACACTTAAGTTTATGGATTTGAACTCAAAAAAGTTTTGGATCTTTTTGAGGGATCATCTCTTAAACAGAAGGGGAAAAAACATGTTCACCAAAAGTTTTTTTTTTTTTTTAGCTGTTCTTATGCATGCAGATCTATAGTATTTATTGCTCAAAAAAAATTATATTTTTTTCCTGTAAATTTATGTCCCCTTTGGGGAATTAGTCCCAAGCTGTTGAACAGCTGTTAATTGAAGTTTTTTTTTTTTTTTTGCCAGTGGAGAAACATCATACAACAGAGAAAGAGTAATTCAAGGTACTTGTATTTTAATAAAAGTTACTTGTGATTTATATATTGCAATAAAAAGTTAGAAATGTCAGCAATTGTCTAAAAGTAAGAATAGGATTTAATTTAGAGTCCAATGTGTTAAGGTACCTTTATAAAGCAGGTATGCTACATTTATGTTTCTAGCCTAATCACCATCTTAAATACTGTAGTGTAAGCATACTTGCAGGTATTTTAGTGATAATCATATTTTAGAACCTACATGTACATGTTTTGCACTGCTTCATGTCCACTAATTTATGTACATGCTAATACATGATTTAAACTTATACTTGTCCTTTTCAAGACTCAGTTGTTCTAATATTTATGATTGCACTATTCAGTTGAAGAGGAAGATTGCACTAAATTTGAGTGTGCTAATTTATGTGCATTTAAAGTAATTATAAATAAAAATATATATCATTCACAGTATAGATGTAATATTTTATAGTAATTAAGATGGAGGTATCCATGTTTTCTAGTTGAAATTCTGTAGGATCATTCTAATGTATTTAACTCCTAGGACCAATATCATTCTGTTCACTGTTGAAAGATATTCAAAAATGAAGTGATAATTCAATGTGTTGATGCATACCAGTTCATAGCATGGAGCACAGTAAAATAACAATTTAGATGAAATCTACAGAACACCTCTTAAGAACAATTCAAAATTGAATATACAGTGTAGTATTTAAATCTCCATCAAACTTATCTTTTAACACTATAATCATTTTTACTTTATCCAATAGTACATGGATGTTGTGATGAGATAAATCTGTTGGTGATTACATGTAGCTTATGGATTAATATTCTTGTTCAGAGAAAAGTGAATGCTTTAATTCTCTCCATTCATCAATTTATATAAATCAGCAAGAAGAAGTAAGGATAGTGATTTTACTCTGATATCATGATTTTAAATGTGTGGAACACCGTAAATTAATGATATATATACTTTCATAATTTTTACTTGTGTATGTTTCTATTCTGCGTAGGTCAGACTGACATTCCGTTGTCAGGTATTGGACATGAACAAGCTCATCGTGTGGCAGAGAGACTTCAGAATGAACAGTACAGTCACATTTTTTCCAGTGATTTGTCGAGGGCTCAAGAGACTGCGGAAGCCATTATAAAGAGTAATGCAGCCAGTAACTGTCAGCTCAGTTTGGACAAAAGGCTCAGAGAGAGGGTTATTTTACTTTTTGATTTCTTCAAAACATTAATATTTGTGTGTGTATTTTTTTTTCATGAACAAATTCTTCACTATTAATATTTGGTAGTTAAATGTATTACCCTTTGATTCCATTTTGCAAAGAAAAACTGATTTATCTCACTTTTGTCTTTGGGAAATTTACGGTGCCTTTTGCCTTTATGGTCTGTACCTTTGTCATTTCTATGTTTTAAATTGATTACTTAGTGAAAAAACTACATGAAGGAAGGTCTTTTCTCTGTTTATCCTTTGGTTGACTCCACAAGGGAAGTAACTCAATTTAAGAGTGCATTCATTTGAGGATTTTATGATGCAGGCTCATTTTCTGTTAATATTTTTTAACAGAGATTTGGAGAATATGAAGGGAGGCCTTCTGAGGAGTTAATGGAGGCTGCCAATAGAATATCTCCTCATTCGTGGACAGACTTCAACCCTCCCGGAGGTGAAACTCTTCAACAGGTGATTGTTTTACAAATACTGTATGTGTACTTTAAAAAGCGGACTTCATATTTTAGCAGCTTTGGCGCAGACAACAATGCGCTAATTCATGAATACTGCTAAGAAATCATTTATAGATACAATATACAGCACGGACATGTATAACGCTAATTCATGATTTCGCCAACAACTCCGTAACCAGGGATTAACCAGTAAATTTTGAAAACGCCAATTTATGTACACGTACAGTAGTCTATTGTCTGGAACGTTCTCAAATACATATACCTATCTTATCGGTATATATAAACTTTGAATTTTATCCTGGTTTTAATTTGACCAGACACAATTATTGTCCTGTTTTGAATTTGTCGCTGACAACAAGGGAGAGAGGAGCACAAATAAAATGAGGAGGGGAGATTGCCCTGTATAAAGTATGTAAACCTCCTATAGTTTATGACACTCAGGGCGTAATATCTGTTGCCTGCAGATTTGGTAAAGGACCCTGTCCCAAGTGGAAATTGGCTTTTCCCCCCACAAAAAATTAAGGTAAAATTTCCCAAATGACTAGCAGATTGCTTTTTTTTCGCAGTGCTTTTTATCAACAATTCTGAATTTTGAGATTATACAGAAAAGTACATAAAGAATATAAGCCTATAATCTCACCGTCTATCCTACATGAAAACAGAATTCCGTATAGCAAGAATTTTTAGCGGGGTGCTAATTTTGGCTTAACTTTGCAGTTTTGTAGTAGGCCGCTAAAATTTTAATCGCTAAATTTGCACCCTTGCTTATAAATACTGAATACAAGAAAAGTAACTGAAATAACTTTGATCAGTTTGTTGTTAACCGTTTTATCTTTCTGTGTTATTGTTTTTTACTCAAACTCTTGAAAAAATTGGTATTCAAATGTTTACTGTAAAAGCAGAAATATTTGTTGGGATTAAATTTCATTAATTTTGTTGCTAACAGTTATCAACGAAATTAAATAACTCACGAAATTTTTATTTGACTATATGTTGAATAGGTTTATTCTCAAAACAACGAAATTAAATGCTCATGAAACCTTTTAAGATGAAAATTTAACAAAATTTATCCCCATGTAAATTTTTGCTTCATAGTATTAAACATACTGAAACCAACTGAAAGATGAATTTCCTCTCTTTTGCAATGTCATGGAACTCTGTGTCTGCCAAAAATGGCTCCACCAAAATTATTGGCATGCCTTTGAGCAAACAAAACACCAAATTTTACACCCACTAAAGAAACCCACTTGCAAACATCTGTTTTTTGTGTGGATCCAAATTTGATTTTTGATGATATGTTGTGTGTTGGAGTGATAATATGAGTCATTTTTTTTATTTATTTAAACAATATTTTATTATGATTAAACATAACTGGATTGGACAGCAGGCACTGCCTATATAAGTCCTCTCCTTTATGCCCCTGTAATCAAAGATTTAGGGGCATATAGTTTTTGCCCTGTCCATCTGTCTAGCTGTCTATCTGTTTGTCCACAAAACTTTTACCTTGGCCATAACTTTTGATTGGTTGGAGATATGGCTTTCAAATTTCACATGTGTATTCCTTTTAACAAGGCCTTTCTTTAGGTATCAACATATTTGACCCCTTGACCTTGACGTTTGACCTCCTATTGCAAAAATTTTACCACACTTCAACCTTGGCCATAACTTTTGAATGGTTGGTGCTAGGGCTTTCATACTTCACCTGTTCTTTCCTTGTGACAAGACCTTTCCTTGGGTACAAATATTATTGACCTCTTGACCTTGGAGCAACTTTACAAAAACTTTTTCCTTGGCCATAACTTTTGAAGGGTTGAGGTTCATATTTCACATGTGTATTCATTGTGATAAGACCTTCCCTAGGGTACCAAGGTACTTCTCTTTCGTCTCAATATTAGCTAAGTACAGACTTAGCTCCCATCTGTAACATCTGTACAGTGTTGCGCATTAAGTACGCAATATTCAGTCAAAATTTGTTATCTCGGACTTGATGAGTTTGAGAAAAAACTTCTAGATATCCAAGGATTGGATATATTGATCGAGGTTAAAATACATAAAAAAAGGTGGTAAAATTTCCAATTCACTTTGATATATCCATGTTATTCAAGAAATCATTAAGATAATAAAGTTTATAACTGTACTTTGAAGACCGAGTTAACATTCATCACCAATATTCTCTATCCTATGTACCTGGTTAATATGTCTTAATTGTTTGCTTCATGCTGCAGCAGAGTATTAAATAAAAATGAGGTTTTTTTTTCTGAAATTGGTATATTTTATTTTTCAGGTGCATGACAGAGCCATCTCATTTTTCAATGATCTTTGCAAAAAACTAGTAAATGAAAAGTCAAATACAAAAAATGAGTAAGTAAACAATGGAATTATATACAAAAAAAGTCTTAAGTGTAACTGTAATGATGTAGAGTAGCTGTAATGACTGTTAATCACTTTTTATTTTCATGTAATTTGCCGAGAGGTCTGTTCACAAAAATTTCATTCTTATGTATATTTTTATTAGTACATGTATAGATTATATAAACCAATAACAGACCTGCCTACCCTTCCGCTTTTGGCGTAATTCTTCCGCTTTTTACCAAGAAATTACGCTGTTACGCCATGAAATTTAATTTTACGCTTTTAAATATTTTTACTAGACAACTTAATGAATTGCTAACTTTGGAGTTAAAGTAAAGGCTTTCCTAAATAAAAACGAGAAGATAATTAATACTAATTAATAGAGGGTTTCGATTCTTCAGGATATGATTATTTAATATACAAACAACATATGTAATATACCTTGTAGTTATGCCTTTTAAACGGGTAGCATGCCAAAATTAAGGGAAAAAACACTTTTGAATGAAATGTGCAATAAGTCAGTTTAATTTTCAATTCCGTTTATTCTTACATTGCTTAGAACAAGATAGAAACAAGTAAATGTAAGTAAATCAAAAACAAAATAGCGCAATAATGTACAATTTGTATTAACATACAAATGAATATGTGATTTTCTATAAATTTTCCAAAAGTTCATTAGGCATGTAAGTTAAATAAGTTTGATATAACTGCATTTAGGATACCAGTTAAACAACACATGGACTTTTTGTGAACAAACGATTTGAAAACGGAACATTCATGCTTACTTTGTTCAATGATGTACAATTACAGGTTTATTTAGACATAATAATATCATTGCAAAACATCAAACTAGGGAAACATAAAAGATTACACCTTTACCTCTGAAATTCCGCCAAAATGAGTATTGAAATTACACCCTCGCAATGAAAAGGGTAGGCAGGTCTGCAATAACCAGAATTTGTGAAAATTTTGTCTTGCCAAATACCTATTTTGCGAAAATAAGGTGTCACAAAAATTTGGTGATCTACAGTAGTAAAAATGATTCTTTATATTACATTTCAGAAAACGAAGTCATTCTGAGAGTGAATCATTATATTCTAGTCAAGCAGTAGGGAATAAAAAATCAGCCAAGTCTATAAAAACTGCCTCTCCTAAGACAATTCAAGGTAGAGTGATGGATATTGGAGAAATTATTCTGCCAAACACAGTTACAATGGACAATATAAATCTAGTTACAAGTGCAGGTAACTCTAGCACACATGAAGAAAATGACAAAGAATTTATTGTTTTTCAAGATGATACTAATTCTGAAAGTTCTGGAAAATCAAAAAAGTTTGAAAAATCGAAGGATCATCTTTCAACAAAATCTCAGTGTGACAAGAAACATAATGGTTTTACTGCAACATTTCTTCAGAAAGGGAGACCTTTAAAAGATTTTATCAGTGACGCTGAAAGTATGGAGGAATGGCCCACTGTTGCAGATGTTCTTGTAGTCAGCCATGGGGGCCTCATCAAAGAACTAGTCAAGTTTTTTATTGAAAAACTGAATTGTAAAATGCCAGCAGGCAACAGAAATGGACTGCGAATCTATCATAACTGCAGCGTTTCCAAATTCCTTGTGTCTTTACCAAATGAGAATCGTTCTGACCGTAGAGTCACTTGTTTATTTTCAAATAGCAAAGAACATTTACAGGGTCTAGGCATTGAGTTTGCAGAAGGGAAATACTGAAAATGACTCTTAACCCCAACTGACCCTCTTCCCCTCCTTCACCCATATTTAATGTTTAATTGGTCCAAAATATATATTTTAAACAAGAGCATGAATTAATAGGACCTTTTTAGACAAGCTTGATAACAATTTTGTGTGGGAGTTTTATATAAATTGTTATAAATTTAGAAAGTATTTTTATAAATCTTATTTTCCATAAATCTTAATAGAGAAATGTTTGCTGGTACTTTTTAGGGAAGTCAGACAAAGACTGTAAGCACCTATGTTGTACTCAAAAACCATCCTCTACTGGCTTAGATATTTATCCAAGTTTATTTCAGTCATCTGATGGTGGTGCTGGAGTAGTGGTGGTGGTGGTGGTGGTGGTAGTTGTGGTTGGAACTGTAGGATCAGCTGAATAAAAATGTACAGAAAAAAAGTAAATTTAAATGTCAATAACAAGAAAAACAACACATGTGTTGATCAAAAGTTTCATAAGAATTATGCAAGAAGAAGTTGTGGGTAACACAGTTATATGCTTTTATTTTTCAAAGTTATTTAAAATTCATACATTCTGTGATTGAACATAAGACTTGACATGTACCAACCCAGAACATGATATGAAACTTGGATTTTAAATACTCATCCAGTTGTATCTCAACTCTCATAACTCTGGCCACAGAGAAATAGATAAGGCAACATCTCTCTGCTAAATTGACATATGCCTTAAATTTTACTACATTTTAAGAACAGTGTCTTCAATCTTCAGCTATGACCATGTGAAGCCTTAGACTGTCTTTTTAGCTCCCCTGAGCCGAAGGCTTAGGTGAGTTTTTCTGATTGAAATTTGTTCGTTTTCATTGCCGTAAACTTTTCACATTTTCATCTTCCTCTCCAGAATGACAGGACCAATTTCAACCAATATTGGCACAAAGTATCCTTGGGTAAAGGGAATTCAAGTTTTTTCAAATGAAGGGCCAAACCATCTTCCAAGGAGACATAATTAAGAAACAGTAAAAATTGGGTGGGGTCATTTACAAATCTTCCTCTCAGGAACCACTGGGCCAGAGAAGATGAAATTTATAAGAAAGCTTTCTGACATAGTGTAGATTCAAATTTTTTCAAATCAGGACCCCTAGGGGTAGGATGTGGCCACTACAGGTGACCAAAGTTTTAAATTGGTATATATAGGAAAAATCTTTTAAAATCTTCTCAAGAACTGCAAAGCCATGAATCAGTCATGTTTATATGGAATCATCCATAGGTAGTGTAGATTCAAGTTTATTCAAATCATGACCCCAGAGGATTGGGTGGGGCTACAATTGGTGATCAAGTTTTACATGAGAATATATATAGCAAAAAAGAATCTTTTGATGAAGATCAAGAAAGGTCATTTTGTAACTCAGGTGAGCGTTGTGGCCCATGGGCCTTTTGTTTTATGCACTCCATATATTTTCATCCCCTTTATACATGTATATCTATGGAAAATCAAGTCATTGATTCTTATCTGAGAAGCTTATTTAATGTTTGCCATGTTCAGGAGGTGCTTCGTACAAAATAGTGTCAGGATGTGTTGATAATTTTAAATATGAATCTGAAACTTCTATACCATTCTCAAACTTATAACTGTACACAGTTGTGTCACTGTCAAACTTACTGTACACAGTTGTGTCACTGTCAAACTTACTGTACACTGCTGTGTCACTGCTGGAGGCAAAGGTGTCTAAATTTGTAAAATGTCGCTTTAACTGGAAACAATCACGAGATCTGCCATTGTAAAATATAACTTTGCAGTCTATACTGGAACATTGAGACAGACAGTCCAGGAGGCTGTCCACTTCCGTTGGTGCACTGAGTTCACTACTGACCAGTATGCTGTTTTGTTTCTCTGGTAACTGTTGAAAACTGTGCACCTCAGTTACACACATAATGGAATCTGTGATAAAAGTGGGTTCATCTATTAGATATTGTTTTTCTGGAATGTTATTTTTTCCCCATAACCTTTTCATATTTCCGTTATTTACCGATCATGACAAGGAGCACATGACGGGTGTGACCGGTTAGCAGGGGATGCTCACTCCTCCATGGCTCCTGATCCCACTTCTGACTTTTTTTGGAGGTCTGTGTTTGCTTTACTCTCGGTTTGTATTGTTTTAATGGACTTTGAGCTTGAATACTGTTCGTTATCTCAATATTTCATTTTGTCATTTGTTTTTTCCAAAACTACCGAGTCAGTAAAGATGGTAAAAAGTATCTTTGGGTGAAGGCTATTTAATTTTTTGTTCACTTTCAAATTATATAAGGAATGTCATCTTGAAGGAAAGGTGATAATATAAGTAGTGAAAATGTGATAAGGAAATTGAAATTTCTTTTAAAGAAACTCAGGATTATCTTTAACAACAAAATTCACAAGCATAGTTAAACTGGTGAAGAGGGAAAACATAGGGAAAAAACTTGGAATGGCCTTACATAACAATGCTTTGTCACATTAACTGTGTGCTTGATGTAATGTAATTTTAAGCCCCCTTTGTTCTTGTGGAAGAGTGGAGGATACTCATCAGTATTTTGGTAATGGACCTTCTTTTGGATACCAATAATTTTGACCTTAGAGTTTGACCTACATGTACTTTTGAAAAATTTTAACCTTGGCCATAACTTTTGAATGGTTAGTGTGAGGGCTTTCATACTTCACATGTGTTATCCTTGTGACAAGACCTTCCTTTGGATACCATTAACTTTGACTATTTGACCTTGACCTAGAAGTTTGACCTACTTTTGAAAAACTTTGAAAAAACCTTGGCCATAGCTTTTGAACTGTTGGTGCTAGGGATTTCATACTTCATATATGCAATTCTTGTGACAAGAACTTACTTTGGATATCAACAACTTTGACCCTTTGACGTTGACCTTGGAGTTTGACCTATTTTTGAAAAACTTTAACCTTGGACATATCTTTTGAATGGTTGGTGCTAGGGCTTTCATATTTCACATGTGTATTTCTTGTGAGAAGGCCTTTCCTTGGGCACCATTAATTTTCATCTTGATGTTTGAATTTCTTTCGAAAAACTTTAACCTTTTCCATATCTTTTCAATGGTTGCTGTTAGGGCTTTCATATTTCACAGGTTTATTCCTTGGGACAAGACCTTACTTTGGGTACCAACATATTTGATTGCTTTTGAGAAAGTTTAACCTTTGCTATAAGTTGTCAAAGGGGAGCATCAGTGTTTCACAAACACATCTTGTAACTTTTATGGGCTGTAGATTCAAATTGTTGCACACAAAAAAATCAATTTCAAGCTTCATTTTGAGACTTGTCTAATCAAATAATAATTTTAAGAGGTTACTCCTAACTGAGGAGCGGATATCCTCAATGAGCTACAAAGTGGCCCTAGACAAAAAGTAGTACAGTTTTTTTTTGTTTTTTTGTTTGTTTGTTTGTTTGTTTGTTTGTATAGCTTTATCTTTTTTCTCCTATATTTGGTGATTTTGTGTTTTCATTACCATTTATTAATCTTTTAAAGTAGAACTACAACTTGCCGTTGGAGATGCAATCTATCTAATGTGCCATTAAGAGATGCAATCTAACATTTGAACGTTGGAGGAATGCTACTTTTAATCTTTAATGAGAAGGAAACTATTGCTTCAACGTACACAAGTGTCAATTGCTAAGTGTGAATGACGATTTCAATTCTGATTTATATCTCTCTTTTGATCATAGTACAATTAATGAACTCTGCTATTAATTACAAATCTTTCGATTTTTTTCGACTTACAGTAGGTGAGACATGCTTTTATTTACGACCGACCCCTCGCTAGAATTTGTTTGTGCAAACGCAGGCCTATCAAATGGGTAGTATACAGTGCTTTATACTATATTTAAGGAATCACTGTCTAGTTTGTTTGGGTATGCCAGGCATTAACAACATTTGTGAACGTGGATAATTTGCATAAAGCCCGTTATGCATAAATTATCTCACGTTTCCAACTGTCGTTAATGACAACTGTGCAATATATTTTTATCTTTTTTCCAAACCTAATTCAAAATTGTCAAAAACTGAACATGATTTTGATATAAAAAAGATATGCAAGGCAAAAACATTTCTGATCTTTAACTTGTGTTTTGAAGTACAGTGTAACCCCCACCACCTTTACAATCAAGAAATAAACATTCTAAAAAGACTGACACAAAATCGCAATTCAAGCCTCATCCCATCTTAATGCAGAAATGATAGAATTTTTTTTTTTTTAATATTTATTTTAAAAATACAGTGACACAAATAAGTTATGCAGAGAAGTGCTTTTGTTTTTAGTTTTGAAACAAGATGTGTTTGTGAAGCACTGATGGTCGTGTATGGCAGCATATGGCCAAGATGAGATATTCTCAAGAGCAAGACAAACTCTAAGGCCAAAGGATCAAAGTAAATGGTGCCTAAGGGAAGGTCTATTCACAAGAACTACATTTGTGAAATATGAATGCCATAGCACCAACCATTCAAAAGTTATGGATAAGGTCAAAGTTTTCTTCTAAAGTAAGTCAAACTCCAAGGTCAAATCCAAGAGGTCAAAGGGTCAAAATAAATGGTGCCCATGAAAACGTCTTGTCACAAGGAATACAAATTGGACGTATGAAAGTCCTAGCACTAATCGTTCAAAAGTTATGAGCAAGATTAAAGTTTTTTTGAAGTAGGTCAAACTCAAAGGTCAAGGTCATAGAGTAAAAAATTGTTGGTACCGAAGGAAAGGTCTTGTTACATGAAAGACCTTGCACCAATCGTTCAAAAGTTATGGCTAAGGTTAAAGTTTGGTAAAAATTTTGCGAAAGTGGCTCCAAGGTCAAGTCCAAGTGGTCAAATATGTTGGTATCCAAAGAAGGGACTTGTCACAAGGAATACACATGTGAATATGAAATCCATGACTCCAACCAATCAAAAGTTATGGAAAAGATTAAACTTTTTGCGGACAGACAGACGGACGGAGAGAGCAAAAATTATATGCCCCCGAAACTTCAATTACGGGGGGGCATAAAAACCAAAAATTTTAGTGAGGCATTTGTATCTTGTATCACTTGCCTCAATGGTTGCTACGACCTTGAATGACAGCCGCGGGACATTGACATCCATATTAGGCTCTTGACCTTTCACTTGGCGAAATTTGCATTCAGTTGTAATTATCGAGAAATCGCACACGTAACTTTCAAATAGTTATTACAGAGAAAACAGTTGGAAATGTAAATTTCATAGTCGTAAAAGCCTTAGCAGATTAAAATCAAGTATGATCGATGCATACCGTTTCCATTTATCAAGAAGTTAGATTAAATAAGAAAATGTCTTTGTTTGCTAGCTTAATTTTTAACCCGAAATTCCAAACAATCAGTAGACACGTCCTAAACAACACATTTTCTCTCACTCCGTGTTCAATGCAAAATTTTTCCAAACAATGAATGTTGAAACATACCCCCCCCCCCCCGTGTCAGTATTGAAAAGGAACGATCTGAAATTTAGAGTGTAGGATAGTAAAAATGTGCACTAGTTAGGGGCAATCACAGTACTGAGTTTAATCTCTTTCAGACCTCGATATCAATAGAGGTCATCTACCTTTAATGGTACATGTACCAGTGTCTCAAGTTTGGTGTCTGTCAATGATATTGAGCGCACAATATCTTCTTATATTAATTTCATACATAATATACAAATATAGCCCTTTCATGAAGTCTTTCTATAGTTATATCTACTTCTCCGAAAAGCATATCGACCGAGCACGAAGTGCGAGGTCGATATCCTTTTCTGTGACGTGGTATATCTATGAATTGACCGAATGAAAGGGCTACATTTGTTACATTATTTTCTACAAAGCTACATTTGTTATATTATTTTTTTAAAAGGAGATTGTCAAAATGTAACGCAAAACAATCTATTATATAAGAAAGTACCGGTAAAACCGAGTATTCGCTGATTAAGCACATTGAAATCTGGAAAAGAATTTTGATTGGTTTGAATGACATATGCCAGCGATCACGTTTATTTTCACACGTAACAAAATTTACCTAATCTTTTATTAGAAAAAACAGGTCTATCCGACTTTTTTCTGTTTATATCTAGAAAGACCAGGTCTATCCCCAGTTCTATATTTCGACACATGATATTAAACGAACGAATGAAAAAACTTAATATCATTTTTATACATTGTAATCAGTTTTTGATATCACGTGTCAAAGCATAGAATGGTGGATAGATTAGCTGGATCTGTCTAATTATAGACATAAAAAACGGACTGAACTGTACTTTTCAATTACAGATTAGGGAAAATTTTTGTTGTTTTTTTTTTTTAAATTTTTTAAATGGCGTGTATCATTCAAACCAATCAAAATTCTTTTCTTTTTTTTTTTTTAATTTTTTTATTTTCCGCCATTCATTTACAATGTTATTAAATATAAATTCCGGATTTTTACGAAATATTCACCCACTAATTCAGTCATCACTAGTATGTAAAGTTGTCATTTCTTTTTTTCTCTCAAAAGTTGGATGTAGGTGATAAATGGGGAATAAATCTATTTTCGAACCTAATTAATATGGATTTTTTTCTGAACATAAAACCAAAATATATTCTCTCTGAAGTTAATGAAGATTAGGTTTTCAAACCTTGAATGATTCTTCTATTACAAGAGTTTAAAGGAATCGATATCCTTTTTTTAAGGCCCCGCTTTAATCCATTTCACATCTTCTATCAAAACGGAAATGTGTTTGTTTCCCATTCGACTGGAATTGAATTGATTTGTCAAGATTTACTCGAAGGCTTTTTTTTTCCATGAGGACAAAACATGTAGTAGAACTATAAGATGACAATTCAGATACTGTATAAAAACAAATTATACAAACAAGGAATAAGTTATTATTTCTCATAACTATGAGAGCAGCTTTTGATTTTTACGATTAATGGTTTGGTGAAGAAAGTAAAGAATTAAATTCTTATCTCTATAACACAAAGTTTAATTTGCATATAAATTGTTCA